GAATGGAAACTTATAGTCACATCTCTGTTCAAATCAACAGTGAACACATATCACACTGAAAGAATGATAAATATAACAGAAATATATCAGAAAAATGTCTCTATTCATGTCTATTTACCATTACCACTGAGGTGATGGTAAATGAAAAGTTGGCAAACCTATAGTGCTGTATGACCTTATGTATTGCATCATTATCAAGCAAGTAGTCACTGAGGTAAACAAGTTGTGATATGTGTAGCTTTAGAAAACTATTAAAGTTTTAACCTTAACTGTCACTCTGGTTTTGTTATTGTACCCAGCAACAGTTGAAATGACTTCAGGAGAAAGGTACACGTGTTCATGAGAGCTGTAGTTTTTTTTTTTTTTGTCTGTGCTCACAAAGTAATCATTGTTTCACTTTGTTAAAACCACAATGGTTTCAGTTTCTAATAGCAACTGTTGTTGTGGATGTTGATTTGGAAAGTAAACCTCAGGAACACGCTGTTTTTTTTTTTCTTTCTTCAGAAAGAGGCTGAATGAGAGATTGCATTGAGTTACTGAAACCAGCGGAACAGAGGGAAGCCTGGCTGTGAAGGCATGACCTTGGCTCTCTATATGTTAGCACAATAGACTAAATGTATGTCCAGAGCAGCACGGCACAGGAGGGACACAGCAGGTGGAATAATTACATTTATGTTGGTTCCACCCCAGGAAAACATTTTGTCATTCCAGGCAGGTAGTAGATATAAAGTGTCAATAAACTGGCTACTGGATAACAGATAAAATAACATTTAGATTTATCCTTCAGTTTTGAGACAGTGTATGGAGTATGAAGGTCACAAAGAGTGTTGCCAGACTGGTTTGTTTTCCACCCGGTTGATGTACTTTTTCTTTAAATGAGCAAGTAAAAAGAGATTTAGGTGGGTTTTCATATTTTGAGCTACACAGACATTTAGATTCAGTGTGCCTTACACTCTCCGAGAATATCATCATCTCTTATCGTGAGTAAACGGCCATAAATCCACTTAGAAATCATAGAAAAAAAGATGCTACTTGTAACTTCAGAACTTGCCTGCAGAGGATTGTTTTTCAGTATCAACATAATCCAGTAATAGTTGCCTGTGCACCCATGGCTACATTGCAACAGGAACTGTTAATAGCAAATTCAGTGTACTGAATTTTCCAAACTAAACAAATATGGTAAAAAAAAAAAAAAAAAAAAGGGACTCAATTTTATCCTACAAAGTAACTGACTGGATCCATGGCAACAGTATACTTCCCTTTTCCTGTAAATATATATAAATCTGGCAGCACTGGTCACAGTCGGGGGGCCACATGAACTGTAGGTCTGTGTTTGTATAGCCTATCTTCAAAGCAAATAGAGCACTTTTCACTGAGGGTATATTTTAGCTTTATGATATAAAACACCTCAGATTTTAGTTCCTTTTTGATCTTGTAAAAAAAAAAAAAAAAAAAAAAATCATTCCATAAACAGAAAGAAGCAGAATTTAACTGTAAAGGTTGTGGCATGATACGCCAGCTTGGTGAGCAACTGTTTCACTATAAAACATCATGCCATACGTCCGTTTGTTCATTATTACTGCAATGACTCCTACGGGTTTATGTTCTTCTTAGGAAGGGTGTGCGGGTGTTTATGGTAAACATGGCTGAACCCTGCGGTTTGAGTGTGGCATTTCCCAATATTACCAATACCTTCATTCAAAGAATAAGATTACTAGTCACACAACATTGCGCACAGATAGATAGATTAGATATGAGTAATGTTGTACAAATTAACTCATAGGCTTAGATGTGCATTCTTCCTTACACATACTATCTGAGTCTGTGGTCCTTCAATCTCAGTGCTGATACTTTCTACTGTATTATGTTGTCAGCTAGATGGGGATTCTGGGAATTTTTTTTTTTGGCACACTATTGGGTACTATAACGAAATCAGAGACCATTTCTTCAGCTTACTTAAATCATATGAGTACCTCCAACCATGACTGACTGACGCAATTGATTTCCATCATTAACCTGTACAAAGAGGTGTCATCCTTACTGTCAGCCAAATAAACTCCAGCCACAGTCCTCATTTCTTTCTACATTTCTGTCTACAAATCTAATTCTTCAGCGGTTCTATTCTAATTTAAATTCTGTTGGCTATTTTCAGTGTTTTCAGAAAGTATTCAGAGCCCTTCACCTCCATCACATCTTGTTATCTTGCAGTCTTATGCTAAAATCCTTTAAATTCATTTTTCATTCGTCAATCTACACTCCATGATGACAAGCTGAGAACTGAATTTCAGAAATGTTTGCAAATGTGAAACGAGAAACTGAAATATCACATTTACAAAAGCATTCAGACCCTGTACTCAGTACTAAGTCGAAACACCTTTGGCAGTGATTATAGCTTTGAGTCATCTTGGGTATGACACAACAAGCTTTGCACATCTGGATTTGGGGATTTCCTGCTGTTTTTCTCTGCAGATTCTCTCCTCCAGATCCTCCAGAGATGTCTCAGTCAGAGCTCTGGCTGGGTTACTCAAGGA